AAATTGTTTTATTGCTTAAAGTATTACAAAGAGTATTACATATGTCTCCTTTTTCCCCCCGCCCTTGACAATCCCCTGGCCTCCCCTACCCCCCAGTGTCTTATGTCCATTGGTTATGCTTATATGCATACATACAAGTCCTTCGGTTGAGAGAGATCCTTTTAGACATGGAAGTTAAGGCTGGGGTTCAGTTTGTGATTTGTTGTTGTAGTCAATTAATGATTGTCTTCCTACCCTTGGTTCTGAGCCCATGAGAACAATTACCTAGGGTCTGCTTTGTGTCAGATAGTGTGCTGGTTGCTGAGGATCCAGGGATGAATAACACAGTTTCAACCTACTCATAAACAATGTCTTACCAGCTAGGATTAAAGACATGAGGCAAGTTTGGTGGAATTTTAGTTCCTGACCCGAGAATGGAGAACCTTAAGTACACAACTCATTAACACACTGGACTGTGGGCCTCTCAGACAGGTGTATGTTTATTAGTCATCCAGCTTACAGCCATGGCTACTATGATATTTAGCATGAGTTTGTGAGTTAATCTGAGTAGCTTCTGGTCCGGATGCCAGCTGTGTTTTTCCAGCGAATTACTAAGGATCTACCATCTTCTGGGTCAGGGTGGGGCTATGATGAATTTATGTGGGTGCAATGCTTTGAAGATGAACTTTCTGCCTATGTGTCTACTCATAGTCTTGTTATTAAAGGTGTCAACATCATCTCCCCGTTTCCAGGTCAGCAATCTTCTTGTCCCTGAATTGAGTGGTGGAGGAGAGGAAGCTAGAACCAGTCATGCACCATCAATTTGGGAGGAGTGGCTGCATTGACTCAAACACTTCCCCTCCTCTGAAGTGAGCTCCAATTCCAGTGGAGTTTGGCCTCCAGACCAACAGAGTAGAGTTAGGAGCTAGGGAATGATTTTTTAAAATACTGAGACCTCATCTCGGAGAAAAAAGAAAAAAATAAAGAGGATCCTTTAGTGTGGATTGTGCACAGTGACTTTCTTCTAAAGAATACAATATCGCCCTAACCAGTTTGGCTCAGTAGATAGAGCGTTGGCCTGCGGACTAAAGGGTCCCAGGTTTGATTCCAGTCAAGCGCATGTACCTTGGTTGCAGGCACATCCCCAGTAGGGGGTGTGCTGGAGGTAGCTGATCGATGTTTCTCTCTGATCGATGTTTCTAACTCTCTATCCCTCTCTCTTCCTCCCTGTAAAAAAAAAAAAAACCTCAATAAAATATATTAAAACTAAAATAAAGAGTACAATATCGACACTGATAAATCATGTTGATATTATGTGCCCTTGACATGAGGTGATGAAAATACTATCATTTTACCTCTGTGATCTCCCCTTCCCCGCTACTCCAAAGCCACATAACCCCAGTTTAATCATGAGAAAAACATCACATATCCTAACTGAGGGACATTCTATGACATACTTAACTAGTATGCATCAAAACTGTCAAGGTCATAAAAAAACAAGTAAAGTCTTAGAAACTGTCACAGTCAAGAGGAATATAACAAAACATGAAAACTAAATATAGTGTGGTGTCCAGGATGAGATCTTGAAACAGAAAAAGGACATTAGATAAAAACTAAGAAAATATGAGAAAAGACTTTAGTTAATAATAACATCAATATTGATTCATTAATTGTAATACATGTATTACACTAATGTAAGCTGTTAATTATAGGGGAAATTGGGTGCCCATGGAAAAATATGGGAACTCTCAGTACTATCTCAACTTTTCTATAATCTAAAACTGTTGTAAAAAGAAGTCTATTAAATAATGGAGGGGGTTGTATCCAGAATACAGCTATGCCTTTATATTATTTTTTCTTTCTTTAAAGTTCCTGTTTATGGATCATTTACCATGCACCAGTCATTGCACTAAACCTTGACTATAAATGATCTCATCTAATCTTTACAATTCTTATGTTAGGTATCATTAAGCCTCTTTTACAGAAGCTGATGAAAAAGAAAGAGGTAATATAATGTAAATGGTGGAGCCAGTGTTGGAACCAAGGATCTTTCTGATCCCCAAATTCTAAGTGTTTGTCACTCTCACAGCATCCTGGCTTTTCAGGAAATGTTATCAAAGTACATGCCTTCTTAAGAGAAAAGAGTATTCTATCTAAAGCATGTGGAATTACTTTCAACAATAAAGATTTTTTTAAAAATCACGGGGATTGAAGACTCTCTAGATTTCACTTTAGTCATGATTACTTTAAAAGTCTCTCAGTTTCAGGTGGGACCTTCCAGCTGAAAGGATCTGTAGGGTGTCCAAGTTCACCCACAGTACTTCATGTTACAAATGGGCAAACTGAGGCACACCCGGAGCACTGGCCCCAAATCAGGAAGGAGTAGGGACCCGAGTTCCGTCCATTTCATTAATCCTCTACAGAGAAGAGCTAGGAACCCAGGTGCAATGTCATTAGTCCTCTATTGCCCACAGCTTCCTCTTTGTCGTTTAGGGAAGTAGAGGCTGACGCATCCGCCTTCCCCACTCACCCCCACAATTGGGTGGCACACTGCCCCCCAAGTACACACTGGGGTGAGGGATGAACCTGCAGGAGATGTCGGGGAGGGGCCTGCAGAGAACCGGGTCTCCTGCCAGGAGGGCTCGGGAGGCCCGTGGATACACAGGGGCAGGGCGCCAGGGGCTCCGGGACCGGGGTTCCTTCCTCGGCGCGCCTTGGGAACCAGGGCGTCGAGACGCACAGCCATCGTTTTGGAGCCCAGCGCATGGCCGGAGGCCACTCTCGGCCCCACAGCCGCCTGCTCTTTACGGGCGGGGGACAGGAGCAGGAGT